AGATAGAGATGATAGAAATATATAGATACCAGGGTATATATCCAATACTTTTAATTTTGTTATTATTTTCTGAAGTATTCCATACAATGTGCTTTGATTATATTGACTTGAGCTTCCTTAAATTTCCCCTACCCCTCCCACCCAATTTTGTGTTCTTTGCTTTTTGTCACTTCAAGACCAAATTTTTGCTTTCAAATAATCTCAAATACATTGCTTCTAGTGGAGTATGGCCAACTTATCTCTTGAACATACTTTTAGGGAGAAATATCTTTGTGTTCCAGCAGCTATAAATTGCCAATAGCTTCATGGATATTGGTGGGATTAAACACCAAACTCTCCTTTGAGGTCTCCAGTTGAGTTGTTGAGTCTTTCAATTACATGTTTGTTTCAGTTTCAATTTTTTTCAATAGTTACGTCTCTTCAATAGAATTAGTTTTTAAATCCCAGGTCATGTTTGTCATTTTATATATCTGTGGTTTCTTGGACATCACTGAGGTATTAATTGCTATCCATATTAAGCTACCTGTTCATGTCTTAGTTAAACACCTTGAATTCATTCACAAAGTTTTGATTTTTCTTTAAATTTTTGTGTCTTTGGATTCATCCAGGTAATTCTCAACAGACCTTGCTATAGGACCAGAGATTTAAGAGGAAATATGTTTTTGGCTTTACAAACTGTGGTTTTATAATGATTTTTGAGAGTATGGAATTCTTTTGTGCATTGCATGTCAGATCTGAGATTCTGGGCTACATGGCATGGGTAAACTCTGAGGGCTGGAGATGGCATGAGGAGGTAAGACTCAAGGAGCTCCTTAAGCTTTATCTGCATATAGATGTGAAACCAGAGAATTTGGTATATAGTGCAAGTTATTTAGGTTAAAGGAAACAAGTCAGACTATACACAGGATGTAAGTTCTGTCTACATTTTTGAGGTTGGATGAGTCACAAGCAAGTGGAATGAAAGCAGAAAGGAAGAGCATATATGTTGGCTACAGCTCGCCTGTAAGCAAGGGATCAGGTGAGATCCAAAATAAAGTTAACAGGCTTAAAGAAGGGCGTTCCCTCTGAAAAACAGCTGATAGAATAGGGAGAATGCAGTAAAAAGAGGGAGAATAAAGTAGCTTACATGGGTGTGCTCAATTTTATTTTTTCAAATGGCTAGCTCTTTTTTTATTTTTTTAATGTTTAACTTTTTTTTATAATTACTTTTATTTTTTTAAGTCCAGTCATTAACCCCTTCATTTCCTCATCCCATTCCCCCTTCCCTTTTGTCAAGATGATGTCTGCCTCCCCTGCTCCACCAGGCTTCCCCACTTCATGGGGCAAAAAGTCTCCTGAGGGTTAGGCACATCTTCTCCCACTGAGGCCAAAACAGGCAGTCCTCTGCTGTATATGTATCATGGGCCTCAGATCAGCTTGTGAATGCTGCCTGGTTAGTGGCTCAGTATCTGAGAGGTCTCAGGTGTCCAAGTTAGTTGAAACTGATGGTTGTCTTCCAACCATTTGACTGAAGTCACGAAGACTTGTTGTTGAATTCAACAATGGTTGGATGTTAGTATCTGTATCTGTCTCAGTCAGCTGCTTGTTGGGCCTCACAGAGGACAACCATGCTTGGCTCGTATCTGTCAGCACACCATAGCATCAGTAATAAGGTCAGGCCTTAGAGCCTGACCTTGAGATAGATCGCAAGTTGGACCAGTCACTGAACCAGCTTTCCCTTAGTCTCTTTCATTTTTGTACCTGCGTTTCTTTTAGACAGGAACAATTCTGAGTCAAAGATTTTGACTGTGGGATGACAACCCCAAACATCCACTTGATATCCTGTCTTTCTACTGGAGGTGGACTCTATGAGTTTCCTCTCCCCACTGTTGAACATTTCATCTAAGGTCTCTCCCTTTGAGTCCTTAGAGACTATCACCTCCCAGGTCTGATTTTATTGTTAATTCATTTCTTTATAAATTTAATACATGGGCACTATCTTTGTATTATTTACTTCCCTCCTTTTTCTTTACTTCATTCCTCCCATATATTTTCACTCAAACTCATAATTTCCTTTTCTTTTATGCATACATACACATATACACATACAGGGCTGGCTTGACCAATAAAGTTTAGAATAACTATTTGTAGGTGTGTCCCAGGAGTAAACTGATTCTTCTTCTTTGAGTAGCCATTTCCATTTTCTATAAATTTATTTAGCAATCACTACTAGAAATTTTTAGCTTACTAAAAAGTAATATTTCTAATTTACCTAACTGAAATAAAATACAGAATAATTAGAGAATTTTCAAACGCTAGATTGTTCATAGTTCAGAAAGCATTATTGTTAGGCTTTACATACCATCTTCTTGTTATATTAAGGTTCCTAGTATGATTGAGCATTAATTGTATATATGCTTATACGTATTCTAATTTTCCTGTTTTATAAAATATTAATTCAGTCATGTTTTTGTAATTAATATTTTGCATATACTTTCTTCTTCATTTAAGTTTATGCAAAGTAGTTGATTATTTTTATGTTATCACAATTGATATTTATTCTTTAATATTCTATATGAATTATGCATTGTTAATGAAAAGAAACACAGTTGGGTTCATGCTCATTTTATCTTGCACTTTTTCTGCATTTATTAGGTACAATAATTTTTTAGTAGAATTTCTAGTATTTAATATTTATAAGATTGTACTTTTATTTTTCTCTTCTGCTTTGGGTTGATAACCAAGCTACATGTAACAAAATATCACATCATAACATACAAATTATTCCAACAATTATGTGCTGATATCTTTTAAGAAAATAAGGGAAGGTCTGTAAGAATTGCTCAGGAATTCAGAGCATCTGCTCCTGTGTAGAAGCTCAAGCTTTAGTTTTCAGCACCTAATGGCAGTTTGCGACTGTCTATCCCTCCTTTCAAGGGAATTCTGCACGTTCCTCTACCCTCTGAAGATACCATATACTCAGATAATACATAGATATGGGTGCCGGCAAGATTCCTATATAATAATATGTTTTTATTATTCTATAAAATAATGTTTTTAACTTGTTATTGGTTCCTTGTGAATTTTACACTATGCACCCCAATCCTACTCCTTTTCCCTCTTCTCATACCCTCTAACCTTGCAACCTCTCACACAACAGAGGAAAAAATTCTCACTGAGGAAGCTTCAGTATGTTACAGTGTGTCCCTTTTCTGTCTAAACGTCTTTGCCTACAAATGTTCTTTGCAATGACTCATTGGTCTGGTACAAGGCCTCTGGATTCTGCTATACTATTAATATTGCGACTTCACTAGGACTTCTCTTGCATATCCTTTTGTTGGCTTGTGTCATGGAGATCTTGTAGTTTTAGATCTCTAGAACCAGCTCCATCATACATTCCAGCAGTTGATTGATGAGGTATATGTTAAGGTGGGCCAGTCAAAACTCTGGATTTATGCCTGAGGAGTATCTGAGTTGGCCAACTTTCCTGCTTTCCTTCTTTTATGCCTTCAGGACAGCTATCCCACAACCCCTGCAACCAGGGCTACCTATATCTTGCTGCCCAGGTGAGTTGCAGGGCCTGCTCTGCTGAGTATGGCAGCAATGAGGACATAGCTATTTCTCCCAGACTCATGGGAGCCAGCTCTTCTAACTGTCATAGATGATGAGTGACAAGAGAGGAGAGGAGAGCTTTTCTTTCTCATTTTAACTGCTGCCCAGAAGACAAAATGCAGGGCTGGCTCTCCCATCCTCTGGGGACCTGCTCGCCTTCAAACCCGCATCCAAGGCCAGCTGTACTGTTGTGCCCAGGTGAGGATCAAGAAAAGCTCTCCTGCTTGGATGGCCTTGAGGCCTGCTTTCTTGCCTACCATAAGTGGCAAGGAGTAAGAGGAGAGTGACATCTTTCTCTTGCCCATGTCACCATACTGCAGAAAAGTGGCAAGACCACTTCTCCCATGCTTATTCCTCAGGGCTGGTTTGTTCACGACCCTGCCAGCCAGGGTCAGCTCTACAGTAAAAGGCCAGCTCTATGGAATGCTGCAGCCAGTGAAAGGCAAGGCTATCTCTCCTGTTCTCATGACCTCATGACCAAGTCCCCCACCTGCCACTGGTGATAAGAGTTGAAGGAAGAAGATAAAGGTATCTGTCTCCTGTCCATGCCACTGCATGAGAGATGAATGGTAGGACCATCACTCCCACAATTTATCATCAGGGCTGGCTCATACTCATCTATAATGCACTGAACTGTTCTTCCAAGTATTGTAGCTAGCTAGGGAAATGGTCAACTCTGCTGCTTTCATGCACCCAGGGCCAGATTTCCCATGATGCTCTGGTGAGGAGTGGGGACAGTTCTGCATAGCTCTCAGACAAAAGCATGTTCCTAAGCAGCAGCCCAGACTTGAGATATCTGCCTGACCATTGATGGCAACAGACCAGTGCAATAGGAGGGCCATGGACCCAGGTGAGTTTTCTGGTGGCAGCACAGGCTAGGACTCCACAATGATCCTAAGTAGCATCACTGGCTACTCACATTAGGTTGTTGCTCACTATTCATTTTTCTCCATTTCTGCCTCTCTCCATTGTCTCCACATCCTTTTGTTTCTCTTTCATTTCTCCACCACTTACTTACTTCTCTTAATAGCACCTGGGGTCTCTGAGTGTCTGGGGTCATTTCATGGGTGGTCTCAGGAGGGCTATACCCTTTGCTTGACTTACGGTGCCTTGCAGGGGTCGTCTTGGAAATGTTCTGTCCCCTAGACCTTGTGCAACATCAGACTTGGATCATTTCAGGCTAGCTCCCTTTCTAGGTCCCATGTTGACTGTATGGTGGTCTTCTCCTCTCCCTGCCCATCCATGTGGTCCATTGAGAGTGTTCGTTGTTTTATGCTCACTCCGTCTGGGGCTCACAGTCTCATGTAGGGATCTTCTAGCCTTCAGATTTCTCTCTGTCCTGAGAACTCACCCAGGCCTGCCTGGTGCTAGACTACTGGTTATCTCAGGATCAGTTTCTTCTAACAGTGACTGTTAGTCTACTAGTCATTCAGATATTCATAGGTCAGAATACTGGGTATATACACACCCTCTCTCCTCTCTGCCACCTACTCAGACATTTGTGACAAAGAAGTTATACCTGTAATGCCTATAGGGGCAGGAGATAAAATCCATTTTAAAAATACATTTAAAAAAAATACATTTTTTATTGGATATTTTATTTACATTTCATATGTTATCCCTTTACCCCATCCCCCACCCACCCGGAAACCCCTCATCCCCTTATCCCTCCTCCTTCTTCTCCGTGGATGTAACCCCCATCTACCCCCCCCCACTCCCACTTCCCCACCCTCAAAATTCCCACCCCCTGGGGCGTCCAGCCTTCATGAGGTCAAGGATCTCTTCTTCCACCTGTGCCTGGCAGGGCCCTCCACTCTTACATATTCAGCTGAAGCCCTGGATCCCTCCATAAGTGCTCCCAGGCTGGTGGTTAGGACCCCGGGAGCTGTGGTTGGTTGGTATTGTTGCTCTCCTCATGGTGCCACAAACCCTTTCAGCTCCTTCAGTCCTCACTCTAACTCCTCCATTGAGAACCTCATGGTCAGTTCAATGGCTAGTTGTGAGCATCTGCCTCTGAATATGTCAGACTCATGAAGGACTCTGAGGAGACATCCATATCAGGCCCTTATCAGCATGCACTTCCTGACTTCCACATCAGCATCTACCTTTGGTGACTGCACATGGGATGGATACTCAGGTGGAAAGGTCTTCAAATGGCCCCTCCTTCAGTTTCTGTCCCTCACTTTGTCTCCATATTTGCTCCCTTGAGTATTTTGTTGCTCCTTCTAAGAAGAACTGAATCACCCCCACTTGGTCTTCCTTTTTTATGAGCTTCATGTGGCCTGTGAGTTGCGTCTTGGGCATTTCAAGGTTCTGGGCTAATATCCAATAATCAGTGAGTGAATACCATGTGTGTTCTTTTGTGATTGGCTTACTTCACTAGGATGATAATTTCTAGTTCCATCCATTTACCTAGGAACCTCTCGAATTCATTGTTTTTAATAGCTGAGTAATACTCCATTGTGTAAATATACCACATTTTTTGAATCCATTCCTCAGTTGAAGGACATCTGGGTTTTTTCCAGCTCCTAGCTATTATAAATAAGGCTGCTATGAACATAGTTGAGCATATGTCCTTGTTATATGTTCGAGCATCTTCTGGGTATATGCCTAGGAGTGGTATAGCTGGATCCTCAGGTAATGCTATGTCCAATTTTCTGAGGAACCGCCAGACTGATTTCCAAAGTGGTTGCACCATCTTGCAGTCCCACCAAAAATGGAGGAGTGTTCCTCTTTCTCCACACCCTCGCCAGCATCTACTATCACCTGAGTTCTTAATCTTAGCCATTCTGACTGGTGTGAGATGGAATCTCAGAGTTGTTTGATTTGCATTTCCCTGATGACTAAGGACACTGAACATTTCTTTAGGTGCTTCTCGGCCATTCGAGTTTCTTCCATTGAAAATTCTTTGTTAAGCTCTATACCCCATTTTTTAATAGGGTAATTTGGTTGTCTGGAGTCTACTTTCTTGAGTTCTGTGTATATATTGGATATTAGCCCTCTATCAGATGTAGGATTGGTAAAGATCTTTTCCCAATTTGTTGGTTGTCGTTTTGTCCTATTGACAGTGTCCTTTGCTTTACAGAAACTTTGCAATTTTATGAAGTCCCATTTGTCAATTCTTGATCTTAGAGCATATGCCATTGGTGTTCTGTTCAGGAACTTTTCCCCTGTGCCCAAGTATTCGAGGGTCTTCCCCACCTTCTCTTCTATTAGTTTCAATGTATCTGGTTTTATGTGGAGTTCCTTTATCCACTTAGACTTGAGCTTTGTACAAGGAGATAAGAATGGATCAATTTTCATTCTTCTACATGTTGTCCTCCAGTTGAACCAGCACCATTTGTTGAAAATGCTGTCCTTTTTCCACTGGACAGTTTTAGCTCCTTTGTCAAAGATCAAGTGACCATAGGAGTGTGGGTTCATTTCTGGGTCTTCAATTCTATTCCATTGATCTTCCTGCCTGTCTCTGTACCAATACCAGGTAGTTTTTATCACTATTGCTCTGTAGTACAGCTTGAGGTCAGGGATGGTGATTCCTCCCGAAGTTCTTTTATTGTTGAGAATAGTTTTCGCTATCCTGGGTTTTTTGTTATTCCATATGAATTTGAGAATTTCCTTTTCTAACTCTGTGAAGAATTGAGTTGGGATTTTAATGGGGATTGCATTGAATCTGTAGATTGCTTTTGGCAAGATGGCCATTTTTATTATATTAATCCTGCCAATCCATGAGCATGGGAGATCTTTCCATCTTCTGAGATCTTCTTCGATTTCTTTCTTCAGGGACTTGAAGTTCTTGTCGTACAGGTCTTTCACTTGCTTGGTTAGATTCACACCAAGGTATTTCATATTATTTGCAACTATTGTGAAGGGTGTCATTTCTCTAATTTCTTTTTCATTCTGTTTATCTTTAATGTAGAGGAAGGCTACTGATTTGTTTGAGTTGATTTTATAACCAGCCACTTTGCTGAAGTTGTTTATCAGGTTTAGGAGTTCTCTGGTGGAAGTTTGGGGGTCACTTAAGTATACTATCATATCATCTCCAAATAGCAATATTTTGACTTCTTCCTTTCCTATTTGTATCCCTTTGACTTCTTTTTGTTGTCTAATTGCTCTGGCTAGGACTTTCAGTACTATATTGAATAGGTAGGGGGAGAGTGGGCAGCCTTGTCTAGTCCCTGTTCTTAGTGGGATTGCTTCAAGTTTCTCTCCATTTAGCTTGATGTTGGCTACTGGTTTGCTGTAAATTGCTTTTACTATGTTTAGGTATGGGCCTTGAATTCCTGATCTTTCCAAGACCTTTATCATGAAGGGATGTTGAATTTTATCAAATGCTTTCTCAGCATCTAGTGAGATGATCATGTGGTTTTTTTCTTTGAGTTTGTTTATATAGTGGATTACATTGATGGATTTCTGAATATTGAACCATCCCTGCATTCCTGGGATAAAACCTACTTGATCATGATGGATGATTGTTTTGATGTGTTCTTGGATTCGGTTTGCTAGAATTTTATTGAGTATTTTTGCATCGATGTTCATAAGGGAGATTGGTCTGAAGTTCTCTTTCTTTGTCGGGTCTTTGTGGGGTTTGGGTATGAGTGTAATTGTAGCTTCGTAGAACTAATTGGGTAGTGTTCCTTCTGTTTCTATTTTGTGGAATAGTTTGAAGAGAATTGATATTAGGTCTTCCTTGAAGGTCTGATAAAATTCAGCACTAAAACCATCTGGTCTTGGGCTTTTTTTAGTGGGGAGACTTTTAATGACTGCTGCTATTTCCCTAGGGGTTATGGGACTATTTAGATGGTTTATCTGCTCCTGGTTTAACTTTGGGACCTGGTATCTGTCTAGGAAATCGTCCATTTCTTCCAGGTTTTCCAGTTTTGTTGAGTATAGCCCTTTGTAGTAGGATCTGGTGATTTTTTTAATTTCTTCAGTTTCTGTTGTTATGTCTCCCTTTTCAGTTCTGATTTTATTAATTTGGATACTGTCTCTGTGCCCTCTGGTTAATCTGGCTAACGGTTTATCTATCTTATTGATTTTCTCAAAGAACCAACTCCTGGTTTTATTGATATTTTGTATTGTTCTTTCTGTTTCTATTTGAGGAAAATAAGGTGGGAATTGTGTTAAGGCTCCTGTAGTAAGTATGTAGTTTTGTTGTTGTTGTTATTTTTATTGTATTAGTACAGAAAAATTATCCTCAGATCATTAGAAAAAGAAAAAAATGTTTGAGGAAGACATAAAATTTCCTTAGCCAGAGAGTTGAGTAGATTTTTTTTTAAATTTTTGCTTCCTGACTTAGCTGTGACCCTGAGAACCTAATAATCGGAGATTCTTTCACCTAAGTTTCATTTCCTCATATCCTTATAAGTCATCTCAGACAAAATACAAACAACACTCTGCTATTTCTGTCAAGGTGATGTTAAAGAGCTGATATGGGATTACAACTATAAGGAGACATCAGCCCTCATGTCACTGCTTCCCCAGAAATGTGTAGAAAGCTTGCTGTTTCAGTCTTGATATTTGAAAGAGCACAAGCCAAGTTCTATTCCACAGCATAAGCCTACCTGTGATGAAGAACATTATTCCCTGATTAAGCATATTGAACTCATGCTCTTGATTGAAACTGGTCCATATCCTTCTTTTGTACCAGTAAGTGTCTATTCCTGGAACAATAAGTATTACAATATTTTACTGCCACAGTCAGAAATGTAAATGGAGACGCAATATCTGATCATTTTCATTTTACAAATGAAAACAAAAATGTAGAAAGAAAGACAGGAAATGGAAAATAGCTGTACTACAAACAGTGCTTCTAGCCATTTTATAATTACAAATTTTATAATTTGTAATATAATTACAAATGAGCAGTTCAAGAGCCTTCCCATTGCATGCTCAGGACTTCTAGGTGCTGGAGTGAATTATGGTAAAAGAGAGAGGTGGTCTTCTGTTGAGATAATATTTTAAAATGGCAGCACCCAATCTGTCTTGTGATATGGGGTCTCCATGATCCCAACTAGGCTAGGCCTGAGGACACGAGTGGTTGCATGTTCTCACTGCTGCCGTGGCTCAGGCCACCAGCTCAGACTGCCGGCTCAGGCGGCTGAAGATACTGGCCCTGCTACCCACAACACACCAGCATGAGAGACGGCTCTGCTGATCTTCCATACTGTGTCCACAAGGCTGTGCCTAGCCCAGACCATCCTGCCATCCATGCAGGCCCATTAGGAATGAGACTCTATGCCTAAAGATTAATCAAAGGCTTTATATATTTGGTAATGCTCAATAACAAGATGCCCACATAATTAGAGGTGTAACTCAAAACCCAACCTAGATATATCAAATACATTTGACTATTAGAGACACATGCACATCCACAGCCATGTTTCCTCTCTCCTCTCTCCCTTTCTCCTCCTCTTCCTTCTCCTCTTCCTATTCTTACTCCTCCTCTTCCTCTCCTTACTCCTCCCACTTTAGGTCTTCCCAAATTTTGGGGAAAATATGACACTACTGTCTTTCTAATTTTCATGTGTTTATAAGGTTTTAT